AATTTCTTGACAATTTGTATCTACATTTTTCGCGTTACAAAAATTCCCTTAGATATCGAACCAAAGAGAAATTTTCCAAGAAATTTTGTATTCTTTCAACAAAAGATTGTGTAACACTGATTTTTAACGAAACTCAAAAACTTTCTCTTTCTTACTTTTTTACACCGTCTATAATACACATACAATGAGCAAAGAGCAAAGAACCTAGTATTTACACATTTTTATTATCACATAAAATCTCGAAACGTTAATAAATCCAACTTGTTTTTTAACATTTTTCAAGATGACGCACGAGTTTGTCGTTTAAATGATGTAAAACCACCTACATATTCAGTTAGCCACGAAGTCTGCAGACACCCTATAAATGTCGCTTTCGTGAACTACATATTTAAAAATACGATGGTATCCTGAGCAAACTTAAAAGATTTCTCACTTTTAAAGTCTGGGAATGAAAACATCCTTAAGAAAATTCTTTTCTTTGACAAAAATTTGTGTCTTTAAGTAAGACTAATAATTTCAAGCTGTTCTTAAGACTATTTACAATTTATTTTCTCGGTATAAACAAAATTGCAAAATTGGTTAAAATGGAAATCTAAATAGAATCTTTAGATAGAGAATCGATTAAATAAATTTGATAACTTTATTAAGTACTTTAAAAGATTATCATAAAAGAGAATTTTCTTTTGTGCATCGACTAACAATATTTTGCGTCTGAATATTTTTATTACACACTGTAGATCGTACAATTTTCGTTCGAGAAAAAATTTGACCATGTGTTGGCGTTGGAAATTTGGAAAACATCAGACGGTTGTTTTGAGCCGTTTTCGCAAAATATAGGGTGAAATTTTCTTCAATACGAACCGAATCTTTGACGTTTCGAAAGAATGCGATGTATTTTCAGCAACAATTTATTTATAACTACCGCTACGAAAACCGGTTTTTCGGTGAAAAAGGCAAAGCTTGAATCATTCAGTTCCTGAAAAGAACGATGAATCATACCGCTGCACAGCTTGCCCGCGGGATTAAAGTGAATTTATTGGAAACTTCTCGTCAACAGGATGGAAATTCTGCGGAGTGGATATGCTGGGAATTATCATTTTAATCAAAGTTTAAACAAAGTTTAAACAGAGTCGTTGTTCATTCAGTATTTGAACGCGTGAACGTTTGAATAGTGCAATGATTGATATTAATGATGAAATGACTTTCGTTTCATTGGAATATAATGTAAGCATTTTGTTCAGCAGTATTCAAGTAAATACAGTTCTTATGGAATATACCGGGTGTCCAAGTTGTTTCAGATCAAACTTTTCCAGTGTGTTCTATGGGTATAAGTAAGAGAAAAGTGTTATATAAACATAGGTCGTTTGAAGCTTCATTAAAAAGTTAGGGCAATAATACGAAACACGAAGGAAATGGTAGAAAACTGGTTGAAGGCAAAAATGGCGCTGGTAAAAATTGCATTCAGCACAAAGATTAATCATTTCGAAGGTATTCAATTAGTATACCATACATTGGATTCAGAAATATTAAACATGCATTATACTGTATTATTCGATACGAATGACTGATGTATACGGGGTGTCCCAGTTGTTTCGGATCAAACTTTACCAGTATGTTTTATAGGTATAAATAAGAGAAAAATGTTATATAAACATAGGTTGTTTGAAGCTTTATTAAAAAGTTATACTACCTCACCATATATTTGTTCTACCGACTATACTTTCTACACTTCACCACCAGAGGGACAGACTAACATCAATCTGTCTCACTAGTCCTCGCTAAGGCTCCTATTATGATATATACAATTTTTTCCCCGGATTTAACCTTCTTTCGTGTCTAAAGTATGGGTCTCTTAGGTATAGTCGATGGAAGAAGGGGGCGTCAAAGTTTGCACCGTTAAAGCATATCGACAAGCGAATTGAAAGAAGATAAAAACCCCAAAACCTAAGTCACGGCCTTAACTTTGATTCCGTCTTAATCGAAGAAACGAAAAATGGCCGTTCGACCCTGAATGTGTTACTGCATTACTCGGTACCCGCTACTTAATGCTTTTTACCTTTAACACTCGGTATATTTTATGGCTATACATATCAGCAACTCGGAAAATATTAAGACTTACCAAAAAACGAAAATATAATATTAAAATAAACACAAAAAAGAGTAACAAATGATATTTATGGAAAATATAGATTTTGTTATTACAAAATAAGCTCACAATCCATTATTATTATTATCCTTCGGAGTTACGGGATAGGCAGTAAGTGCCCGTCGAGCGTTAAAGGTTAATTAAGTACCTCGCTATATTTCTTCCACCGACTATACCTTTACCGACGAGTACTCTAGGAGGCCCAGGCCGAAACGCGCCTTCCTTTCCTTTTTCACCTACCTATCTTCTCTCCGTTTATTTCCTTCTTCCATAATTAATCGCTATGAATCAAACTTACGAATTTCGTTGAAATAAAATGTCGTTTAAATAAATTCACCACTGTCGTGCACATCGCAAAAGAAAGAGAAAAGACACGAAACGTGTGTTCGCGCAAAAATTCAGAATTGCGACGCAGAGGGGCGTAACGGTACACTATGCCGTTGCAAAGAAGAACAATGGTCGACCTTGGTGCAGACTTGGTGAATGAACTAAAATTACACGTTGCGAAGGAAGATTAAAAGCCGACACGATTTCCGTCATTTACGAAGCTCTTTCATTCGAAACGATTTTTCACATGTATCCGGAACGTACTACCAATCACGCTACTTAGAACCGCAACGCGTGGAAAAGCGTAGTCACGCTAACCTTCGTCTAACGAGCTCGAAATACCTCAACATTGTGAAGGTACTCTTTTACATATTGTTGCTTACATAATAGCAGGTCTTCGACTTTTTATTTCTGATGAAATACTGAATTAACTTTTTATCCGAAAAATTTTAAGAAAATGGGATTCCTGAGAATTGTGACGAGATGTTGAGTTAACTTTTCATTCGAAAAACATTGCGAAAATGGGATTCCTGAGATTTATGATGAAATGTTGAATTAATTTTTTACTTGAAAAATATTACGAAAATGAGATTCCTGAGATTTGTGATCAGATGCTGAATTCATTCTTTATTCGAAAAATACTACCAAAGTGAGAGAGGGAGTGGTTGGCGTAGCGTGCTAAGCCTCAGCTTGGTAAGCCGAAGGTCCCGGGTTCGATTCCCGGTTTGGGCTCAATATTTTTCCGTCGTCGGTTCCTACTACCAAAGTGGGTTTTCTGAATTTCTGTGCTGTGACGTTGAATTCGTCTATTCAAAAAATACTACGAAAATGGAATTCCTAGAATGGTCAAATGTATAACACACATTTATCAAAAATGTTGAAACTCAATTTCTCTGAAAATGAAGCTGCGTATTTGAAAATTTTACTTCACATTTTTTACTATAATAACCTTTTGTACGTGACAAATTTCTTGGTTTGAAAATTAAAATTATTTTGGGTAGCTTTACTAATGATTTGGTTCTTTTGTATTTTTAAGTGGTTATTCTGTGCTGCGGTTATTCACACTCGTTTATTTGAATTTTGCACTGAAATTTGCCAAGTGTTTCAACAATTCTCATTTCTATAAAACCTTTTATAATTATTGATTAATTATGTAAAGATTGTTTTATTTAACATTGAATGTCTTCCCCCTTAACAAATGAATTTATTAGATAATACTGTGTCAAAGATAACATTAATGTGATTTAATAAACTAAATATCATTTGTTTTTCTAAACTAATTTTTACGGTATCAGAAATTTTCTTTTCTTTAAAAAGCAGAACATTATTCATCTACATGACAAAATCACTTTTACCCACTTACATTTGCTCTACGACGTTATTTATTCTTTCTAATGCAAGGTTAATAAACCTTCCTTTTTTCCAATGTAAACACACTTATCTTCGTTCAAATATTTATCAATAAATATCACGTTAGTAGATCTTTATTTCTTGCTATTTCAAATATAAGATAAAGCACAGCTCAAGAGAATTCAGTGGTGTTAAAAAACAAACATCAAAGCAATTTACAAGTAAACTGAGTATCAATTTATCAAAAAAAAAATTAGGATAATAATTTGAAATTTCATTTGCACACACCGAGTGAAATTACTGTTTACATTTAAGAAACCTCAAAGAAGATTTATGTAGAGTAAAATTATGAATCCACTGTTAGTGAAACTAATTAGGTTTAAAAATTAATCTCACGTATGAAATATCAAAGGAGTAATTATTTCTTCAACGTGTTACATTTGCGCGGGAAATAAATGATTTTCAAATAATGTCACTAAAAATTGGAATAATAATAAACGAAATAAATTCTGAAATATTATTTTTACATCGTTATCACATCTTTTATAATTATAGTACACATAACGTGACGTATGAAATGTCAAAGAAATAATTATTTCTTCAACGTGTTCATTTGCGCGGGAAATAAATGATTTTCAAATAATGTCACTAAAAATTGGAATAATAATAAACGAAATAAATTCTGAAATATTATTTTTACATCGTTATCACATCTTTTATAATTATAGTACACATAACGTGACGTATGAAATGTCAAAGAAATAATTATTTCTTCAACGTGTTCATTTGCGCGGGAAATAAATGATTTTCAAATAATGTCACTAAAAATTGGAATAATAATAAACGAAATAAATTCTGAAATATTATTTTTACATCGTTATCACATCTTTTATAATTATAGTATACATAACGTGACGTATGAAATGTCAAAGAAATAATTATTTCTTCAACGTGTTACATTTGCGCGGGAAATAAATGATTTTCAAATAATGTCACTAAAAATTGGAATAATAACAAACGAAATAAATTCTGAAATATTATTCTTGTGTCACTGTCGCATCTTCTATAAGTGTAATATAGATATGTAAGCAGTTACATACGCGTATATTAATAGAAACTGTAGCAGTTACGTTAATAGAGGAAATAATTTAAGACGAGAGAAAAATCAGTGACTCACCCTCCATGACATACACAATGGAACCGACATCTCCTTCGCGGATGATGGTTGAACCAGCCGAGAAGGTAACAGGATACATGCAATCCACGATTTCTCGGATCTGCGTCAGCTCCAGGTTTTTCATGAAGTCATTGTCCAAAATGGCAACTTTGATCAGTTCGCGAGACCTTTAAAGAAGAAAACAGGTCTTTCTTTAATACAACTTCTTTTTCAATCTCAAAAAAGATATTGCAAACAGAGTGGTTCAACAGGAAACATTCATAATTGTGATAAATCTTGTGCAATTTTTTTAAAATTTTTATTTAAGCATTTGGGACCTCAGATGAGATCCTTTTAGCAGCGTATACATGCATATACAGGGTGTCCCGTAACTCATAGCCCGGAAATGGGGGGTTGCTGGGGTGACTCTGAACAACTTTTTCCTTTTCCAAAATACAGTTTGAAGCTTCGTTTTTGAATTATCAACGAAAAACACTGGCCAATTACAGCGCGCGTAGAGCCCGCGCTCAGGGGCGAAAAACAAGGCTATTTTCAGACCTTCGCTATTTTCTTCACGATTCCGACTAATTGCAGTTTTTTTAAAAATTTATACAAACGTGGGAATGACGGCAGAAACCCATTTCTCTAAGCCTTATAAAAATAGCGGTGCAAAGTGAAATTTTTTTGACAGCGATCGATAACCGAGAAGTCACGCGTACGCATTTGTTCACGATCGCGCGCGGATGAGAGTCAGCGCTTCCATGCCTGGGCGCGGGCTCTACGGGCGCTGTGATTGGCCAGTGTTTTTCGTTAATAATTCAAAAACGAAGCTTCAAACAACATTTTGGTAAAGGAAAAAGTTGTTCAGAGTCACCCCAGCAACCCCCCATTTCCGGATGTTCGAAGAGTTACGGGACACCCTGTATGTATTTACTATACAAATTTTCAATTAAATTAAATTTACAATTTCTATAAAATTTAAAATTAAATTTGAATTTGAATAGTTAAGATGTATTTACTACACAAATAAAATATTTAAGCTACAATTTTTTAGAAATTTAATTGTGAATTCATAATTGTGATAAATTTCTTTTCTTTATTCAAGTTTTTGGGACCTCGGATGAGGTCTGTTTACTTCAGCTACACATAAGATTATGTGACTTTGAAAATTAATTTTTCAAAAGTATCGAAGTAACTGAAAATTGAAAGTGTTTGCAAGAATTATTTTTATTATAATATTCAATCGTTGAAATAATTTTATGCGGCAAATTAAACCAATTCGAGGAAATTCTATTTTTACAATCTCACACTGGAGTGGTTGTTAGGAATTGTATTCAATTTATCGATTGAAATTTTCTACTCATTGCGATTTATAATTAACACTTGTGTAATACTTTTTATAACTGCACAATCCAACAACGAGTAAAATTATGAATCCACTGTTAATGAAACTAATTAGATTGAAAAAAGAAAAGAGCATTAACGTGTCGTGCGAACTATTAAAGAAAATAATTAATTCTTCGAAAAATGTAACACCAGATGCGAAATGGACACTTAACTGGCAAGAAATCTCATTTCCAAATCTTTCGAATCAGCTTGAACTTACGAAAGTCTTTCTCACTTTCAACTGGCAAGTGAAAGTGAACGATACATAAACTATTAAAAATATCACCATGAATGTAGTACGCAGTTTGCATTCAATGTACATTTATAATGTTAATACTTAATTACATTAACTATGTTTATTACGTCGTTCCATATTCATGCATGTGAAAATGGCTACAGCATTATGCAAAGTCAGAAACTTCGCGCATCAATCGAAACACAGCTTGAATCTTTAAAACGAAAGTGGAAAGTAAATTACTTTTAATGTCAGTCACTTTAAATTTTCGTGACTTGTGCACTTGCCAGTGATTCTTTCGCTTTTCTATTTATTTTTAGAATCACACTTGTTATTTATTAAAATATAATTTAAATTATTAAATTATTTCGAT